ACATTGTGGGTCCAGTTCAGACATCACATTGTAAACCTGGTCTCTGGTAACATTTAGCCCATGCTCCAATCTGATTTTCTTGTGCAAGGTTCTGTATTCTAGCAGCTTACCAGGACCTTTAAGCTCCTCTTCCACCACTTCTTTCATGTCCTGAACTTCGACACTCCTGTCATTCTAGAAGATGTTAAAGTGACGAAGCCTTCTGTCAAGGGAACACATACTCCATGCATATTGTGTAAATTCGCGTCTGAGAAAATCCAGTGCTTCCGATCTTTGCAAGCCTTGCTGGACATATTTAGTTCAAACTTCTTTTAGGTTATCGTCATCGGTCCAGGTAGCCTCATGGTTATCCGCCATATTGGCTAATAGAATCGCAGGCACAGAGCTTTGTAAGTGTGCACAGAATGATGGTACTGGCAGTGCTCAGCCACGGTGAAATTCACTTTCATTTTCACTTTGAATTTCATTTGAAATTGATTTTATATTTCACTTTGAATTGTATTTCCATTTTAGTTTAACTTCAAAGTAAAGTGGTTTTATTTTTAAAATTCAATGTACTTTTAAATTTCATGTCATTTTCCTTTTAAATTTCATTTCATTTTACTCAATGTTTTATTTTGTTTTGTTTTATTACTCAGTCAAACTAACATTTATTACACAAAAATGTGATTTTTTTATTGGCAGTTCTCGGCCACCATACAGTAGCACTTTATCTCAAAAACATTTGACAGAGCAAATGTGTGAGGTCCAGGGAAGTTAAACAATCTTTTAAATAACCCATTCAGATAAATAAACTTCAGATAAATAAACTTCAGATAAATAAACTTCAGATAAATAAACTTCAGATAAATAAAGCGTATTTGAATTGAAACTGACTCAAATAACCTGGTGTAGACATCGACTTCCTTTCTGATCGCAATATGGAACATTCGTGTCAGAGAGGAAACGTGTAGAAATAAATGTGCTGATAAAGCACAGAGGAGTCAACACATTACCACACAATCACGATGCTGTCCATGCTGGGCAGGTACAAAAAGCAGGTCACAGGTCACAGAATGTTGAACTAGTGACATTTTATTGTTCTATTCTTACACGAAAACCGGAACGCATGTATATCATATGTTCATTTCTGACGACCGGAAATGGAACACTATAATGCAACGCCTTTACTCAATCCAGTGTATAACTCTTTAATTGTGACCTGTTAATTGTGACCTGTGACCTGCTTTTTGTACCTGCTAATGCAAGATGTTAAACATAATCCAAATGTTTATTCTGAATTGCGCCGTTTTGAAAATTCGCATTGGTGATGTTATCAATAAACAAAAAATAAACCACAAGCATGTAACGGCAATCATTAACTCACGAGATTTAATTTAATCAACTCTCTACAGAAGCTATTTCGATGACGATCAAGATACTCTACGATCTCTCAACATTTCAAGGTTCGAATAATTATCCATCGAATGTCTCGAAACTGTCATATATGTTGAGTAAAAATGACTCAGTATCAACTATTAAAGTTAAAATCCGCAACTGGTGTGAGCGTAAAACTGTAGCTTACCTGAGAAAGATGTAAAAATTCTAACCAACAAGTCTGCATGAAGACATCACAGGCAACGCAGCTAGCCAACGCTGGCCAACGCTTAAATTTGGTGGTTAGATCCAGTTTCCTCACGGTGCGCTCCGGTAAAGATTTCACACTGGGCTGGACTCTAAAATTGTTTTTAAAGGTTCAAACAGAAGAAAAGAAAGAGGTCAATTGATTGGTGAAGGAACCAAGTGTTCATAGACCATCTCAAACGTAGTTGTTAAAATGATCTTGAGAAATAAAACTAATGATATTATCAAACATTCTTTCGCTGGTGGTAAAGGTTCCAAGCTAATCTTCGTTCAGTTCGAATAAGTAAGGCCACACAATTAAATTAATTTTTATATGCTGTTGTCCAAGGATTATACAACGTCAACGGTAGCAAAGTAGGGTTCCCGATTCCTTTTTAAACACAATTTTTTTAAAAAATCACACGTAACGGATATGAAAGGAAAAATTTCGAGTATTTCTTCGTTTCAGTTCAAAGCTTGCGCGAAATTTTGAGGTTTTCTCGAGCTGAAAGAAAAACTCACAGGTCGCCTATATGTTATAGGAGGCAAATCACACCTCACGCTGGTTCTGAAATTCACTCTCTACATATCAAAAGAATATAAATTCATGATATCTAACACATGTCCATTTTGGCTGAAATCACGCGTCACTTATGATTCTTCGCTTGCCTGCACGTCTCTTACGTCGTGGCGTCTTAAAAATTTACCCTACAAGTTAGTTTAGTTCGATGTATTCAATCCGTGTCAATCTCAAGCAGGTTTAGCCATCCATGTTGCGTAATGTTTTATTTTCACCTCGTTCATATCTGTCAGCTCTGTAGAGCATTTCCCTCTACTTTAGGGAAATTCTCTGCACCGCGAGATGGACTCACAAAAGCGTGACGTACTTCCGTACGTAACGTAACCGTGTGGCTGATGATGTTAAGGCGAAGTCCCTGTGAGAGCCGTTTAAAGATCGCTGTAAATGACCTGAAGGCCTCTACCCGATCAGATTGGAGGTCGAGTTCTTTCCATCCCGGCTTTTATTTAGGTCAAGTCAGTCAACAGAGTATTCGAGACGTGTGGTTAGCGGGGAGCCCTCTCTATTTGCCCTTCAGGGGTGGGCTGAACCTCGCCACTCGTAATGTTACTAAAATAGACATATGCTGCTGATTCTAATTCTAAAGATGGCTGGTTCACTTTACAAAGCAGCAAAGCATTCAGAGTTAAATCCGTGGTAAGTACGATCTTTCATCATTAATTCAAATGAGAAATTATCAATTTTACAACACATATTTCAACGCCTTTATAATTAGAGCTGCCCTTACAAAGTAAATTTAGTTATGAATTGATTGATATAAGAAATATTATGAATTGCCAGGGAGGAACATGGCTCTTCATAAATTAACTTTATTACTTTATTTTATATCACAAGGATAAGGTATATTTTGCGGAGTAGGAATTATGCTTGAGTAGCCCTGAGTTTCGATTCCCCTCTCCATTGATGTTACCAGCAACAGCTAAACTTCTGCAAAAATATTATCTTACTTCATTTAGAGTATCATTCATTCTCCATAAATAAAGAGCTGGGTTGATTATAGAAGACAAAAATAAAAACACTACCGTCACTCTAAACGCGGAATATGTTTCTGAGGTCCTGTGGCCAACACCAAAATATATCGCAGTCGCTACAGGGCAACTGTAATAAGCAGGTATCGTAGTACAAGTCCATGATATTTGAATCAAGTGCTGAAAGTGTTTTGACACAGCTATATTTGTACTATTGGCTTTTTTAACCGTTTCTGCTGCAAGTTTAGTTCCCCCGTCTTGCATCAAGAAAAAATTCGGAACGCTCGCTTAAAATGATGGTCAATTCGACAAGTTTTCTGCAAGATGTTGCAATAGGAGTTACTTAATTATGACTGGTCTTTGTAAATACAGTCCAACCTGTATTAATTCGCACCGTATTAAGCGGTCTCCTATATTAGCGTAATTGGTTATATCAACTGCTAAGTTGAAATAGTCAATTGGCCACCGTAACGAATAAAAAGGCTGACGTTTCGAGCGTTAACCCTTCGTCAGAGCGAAGGACGAAGGGCTAACGCTCGAAACGTCAGCTTTTTTATTCGTTACGGTGGCCAATTTACCTTGTTACCCCCACCGACGCAGCACCACAGTTTCTTTAGAAACTTTCAGCCTTTATTCCTATATTAGCGGTCAGCTGTCAAATTCCCCGTTTTCTTCCCCTTAATTTCTGCACTAGCTTCTAATACTCATCTTTACTAAGCGGTCGTGATCACCTTTTGCTAAGTTCCGATGGCCTGTTTATTCCCCGCCCCCCTCCCTGTATTGTACGGTGTCAGTTAGAGCGGAAACACTCAAATAAATCTAACGACAAACTTTTAAGTCTAATCCATCTCCCGAAATCAATGCTGATAGTATTTCTGAGCGAGTTTTTATTCATTCAAATGTAAAGCAAAATGGCGCTTTATATGGTTTTTCACAATACCCCCTTATTGAGGACCACTTAATACAGTACAGGTTCAACTGCAGATAGTTTTTTCTCATGTACCTTATAGCACGGGAAGTTATTCTTCTTCCCACGAGATAACTTCTCAGACACCAATCTAATAGTAATTTATTTCTATTTCCGCATTTGGATGATATTGATACACGCAAGATGTTTGGAGAACACTCGAGAAGTTATCGTCATGTTAAGGTAAATACAAACAAACAAGGTTTATGAATCTATTGTTTTCGATTAACTTTGGATGGTAATAATTATAATAGTAATAATAATAATAACACCTTTATTTAGACACGATAATGTTTAAAGCTGAACAGCTTGTGGGAAATGTGTGAGGTCCAGAGATGTTAAACAATCTTCTAAATAACCCATTCAGATAAATAAACTTCAGATAAATAAAGCGTATTTGAATTGAAACTGACTTAAATGATCTGATGAAGACATCGACTTCCTTTCTGATTGCATTCTGTAACATTCGTGTCAGACAGGAAACGTGTAGAAATAAATATGTGCTGATTAAGCACAGAGGAATCTACACATTACCAAACGATCACGATGCTGTACATGCTAATGCAAAATGTTAAACATAGTCCAAACATTGTTCTGAGTTACGCCGTTTTGAAAATTCGCATTGGTGATGTTATTAACAAACAAAAAAGAAACCACAAGCATGTAACGGCAATCATTAACTCTCGAGATTTAATTTAATCAACTCTCTACAGAAGCTATTTAGATGACGATCAAGCTACTCCACGATCTCACGACATTTCAAGGTTCGAATAATTATCCATCGAATGTCTCGAAACTGTCATATATGTTGAGTAAAAATGACTCAGTATCAACTATTAAAGTTAAAATCTGCAACTGGTGTGAGCGTAAAACTGTAGCTTACCTGAGAAAGATGTAAAAATTCTAAGCAACAAGTCAGCATGAAGACAGCACAGGCAACGCAGCTAGCCAACTCTTAAATTTGGTGGTTAGATCCAGTTTCCTCACGGTGCGCTCCGGGAAAGATTTCACACTGGACTGGACTCTAAAATTGTTTTTAAAGGTTCAAACAAAAGAAAAGAAAGAGATCAATTGATTGGTGAAGGAACCAAGTGTTCATAGACCATCTCAAACGTTGTTGTTAAAATGATATTGAGAAGTTAGCAATAAAACTAATGAGATTTTCAATCATTCTTTCGTTGGTGGTAAAGGTTCCAAGTTAATCTTTGTTCAGTTCGAATAAGTAAGGCCACACAATTAAATTAATTTTTATATGCTGTTGTCCAAGGAATATACAACGTCAACGGTAGCAAAGTAGGGTTCCCGATTCCTTTTTAAACACAAATTTTTGAAAAAATCACGCCTAACGAATATCAAAGGAAAAATTTCGAGTATTTCTTCGTTTCAGTGCAAAGTTTACGGGAAATTTTGAGGTTTTCACGAGCTGAAAGAAAAACTCACAGGTCGCCTATATGTTATAGGAGGCAAATCACGCCTCACGCTGGTTCTGAAATTCACTCGCTACATATCAAAAGATTATAAATTCATGATATCTAACACATGTCCATTTTGGCTGAATTCACGCGTCACTTATGATTCTTCGCTTGCCTGCACATCTCTTACGTCGTGGCGTCTTAAAATTTACCCTACAAGTTAGTTTAGTTCGATGTTTTCAATCCGTGTCAATCTCATGCAGGTTTAGCCATCCATGTTGCGTAATGTTTTATTTTCCCCTCGTTCATGTCTTTCAGCTCTGTAGAGCATTTCCCTCTACTTTAGGGAAATTCTCTGCACCGTGAGATGGACTCACAATAGCGTGACGTACTTCCTTACGTAACGTAACCGTGTGGCTGATGATGTAAAGGCGAAGTCCCTTTGAGAGCCGTTGAAAGATCGCTGTAAATGACCTGAAGGCCTCAACCCGATCAGATTGGAGGTCGAGTTCTTTCCATCCCGGCTTTTATTTAGGTCAAGTCAGTCAACAGAGTATTCGAGACGTGTGGTTAGAGGGGGAGCACTCTCTATTTGCCCCTCAGGGGTGGGCTGAACCTCGCCACTCGTAATGTTACTAAAATAGACATATGC